GGGGGAGCATCTTATCCTAAATAGGATAGTAGGGAGCAACTCAGTCCACCCCTCAACAGTTCCTGCTCGGAATTTAAGGTTTTCTTAATTGTCCTATTGGTTCTCTCTACCTGTCCTGAACTCTGAGGCCTATAAGTGCAGTGTAATTAACAATTGATTCCTAAAATTTTCGCCACTTGTGATATTTTGGCCATGAAGGTTAGGCCATTGTTTGGACCCCAAGTAAGAGGGAAAGCCAAATCGGGGGATAATTTCCGTAAGTAGCTTTTTAGTAACTACATTTGCCGTGTCAGATCTAGTAGGAAAGCCTTCCACCCAGCCTGAAAAGGTATCGATAAAAACCAATAGATATCGGTAGCCAAAACTTGCTTGAGTAATTTTGATGAAATCTACTTCCCAGTGTTCACTGGGCCTAAGTCCTCTTTCTCTGAAGCCCATGGGTGCCGGTCTTCCTCCTTTAGGACTTACCTGAACACAGGCAGCACATTGTTAGGTGACTCACTCAACCTCGTTGTCTAAATGTGGTAGGAAGTACCGGTCCCTAACCAGTTCTTTTAGTTTAGTTGACCTGAGGTGAGTGCTCTGATGGAGCTGGGAGAGGAGTGGTGATCCTGATGCTCTAGGCAGGATGGGGTGTCCGTCTGGACACCGTCTTCTCTTCGTGTTGCTCTTTGTTGCCAGGCCCAGTTTATCTCTTCTTTGGTATATTTGAGGTGTTCCAGTGAGTCAGGGTCAGGTAGGAGAACAAGAACTGAAGATGAGCCAAGCTCTTAAAGAGGCCCTACTGGCTCTAGGGCAATCTGCCTGGTGGTTGTGTCTGCAAACCAGTTGCTTAGCACCTCAGTAGAGTCTCCTTTCTGGTTCCCTGGAACAATGGATAATAGTCAATCTTTTGGGCAGCCATATTGCAACTAGGAGAGTGAGGATCTCTTCTTTGTTTTTAATTTCTTTCCCAGCTGAGGTGAGCAGACCTCATTCCTGGTACAGGGCATGAGCAGTGGTGAAGGCATACCGGCTATCAGTATAGATGTTGACAGCCCCATCTTTTCCCTATCTCAATGCCTGGGTTAGGGCGATGAGTTCTGCCTTCTGTGCAGAAGTCCCCTGTGGGAAGGACCAGGCCCAGATTATTTCTTTAGGAGTCACCACCACTGCCCCGAGTACCTGGCTCCATCCTTCATGTAGCTGTTCCCATCTGTGAACAGGTCTGTGTCCACCCTGTCCAAGGGTCAGTCCCGGAGGTCTGGGTGGCCATACTGCAGATGGTCAATGACCTGGACGTAGCTATGGGCGAGTTGCTGCTCGGAGTCAGGCAGGAGGGACGTGGGGTTCAGGATTGCTGGAGAGGTAAATCTGATTCTGGGGATGTCCAACGAGAGGGCCTGGTAGTGGGTAAGTCAACATCGAAGCCCTCTAAAGGAGCATCTCAATGGAGTTTGGAGTGGTGACTGTTAACTCCTGTCCCATAATCAGTTTGTCACTCTCCTTTAAGAACATCACAGTGGCAGTGGTGGCCTGCCCAAAAACTGTTAGTACTATCTTTGCTGTTCCACTTTGCTCATCCACAAACAGGTGGAAGGGTTTGGCAATGTCAGGCAGACCCAGAGCAGGGGCTGACACCAGGGCTGTTTTCAATTCCTGGAAGGCCTCCCATTCTTTTGCTCCCCATGGAGGGAACCATTCCCCCCTGTGTTTTGGTGCAGAGGTTTAGTGATCTCTGCAAAGTTGGGTATACAAAGTCTACAATACCTGACCATTCCCAGGAACTCCCTGACTTGTCTCTTGTCTCACAGCTCAGGGATGTTCAGAATGGCCTGTATGCGGCTTGGAGATAGGGTCCGGTGGCCACCCTCCAGACAGTACCCCAGGTAGGTTACCTTGTTGGAACATAGCTAGGCCTTCTTGGCTGATACTCAATATCCCAGCCACTGGAGGGCTTCAAGCAGTGCCTCAGTAGCATGCTGGCATTCTTCTGTAGCATGGGCAGCTATAAGCAAGTCATCTATATACTGCAGGAAAGTGATGTTGGGGTGTTCCTGGTGATACTCTAGCACGTTGGCACTAAGTGCCTCGTCAAACAGCATAGGGGAGTTTTTGAATCCTTGGGGCAGCCAAGTCCAAATCAACTGGCTGCTAAACCCTTCTTCTGGGTCCACCCACTCAAAGGCAAAAATAGGTTGACTCACAGGCACCAAGGGCAGGGAGAAGAATGCATCCTTTAAGTACAATACAGTATATATTATCTTTTCTGGGTCTAGCAGACTAAGGTGTAAGGATTGGGCACCATGGGATGGACAGTCTCTACTCTTTTATTCTCCTCCCATGGACTGGACAGTAATCTTGGGTGGGTCCCAGGTTTTTTGTTTTTTGGGATTTTTTTTTGGTCTTTTTGAGACAGGGTCTCCCTGTAGCCCCAACTGTCCTGGAACTCACTATGTAGACCAGGCTGGCCTCGAACTCACAAAGATCTGCCTGCCTCTGCTTCCCAAGTGCTGGGATTACAGGCGTGTGCCACCATGCCTGGACAAGGGTCCCAGGTTTTTTTGACAGGGAGGAGGGGAGTATTCCAGGAGTGACAAGGAACTAGGATCCTGGCCTCTCTAAGGTGGTTGATGTGCTTTCTGATACCCATCTTGGCTTCTCTTAGGATGGGATAGTTTCACCCATACAGGTCAGGCTGAGCTTAAGAGTTGTACAATAATTGGTGGCTGATGTGAGACCAACCCCCATGGGTTTGTTTAAGCCCAAATTTCTGGGAACTTCCTTATCAATGTTGAGAGGAGAGCGTTTCCCAGTTCAGATTTCCCAGGGTTTTCCTGTAAAATTTTATATTCTTTTGATATAGGGACAGTCACCAATATGGCTGTGTGGGGTTCCCTTAAATTTAAGGTGGCCTTGTTCTCAGTGAATGTAATAGTTGCTCCCAATTTCCATAATAAGTCTCTGCCTATCAAGGGGTAGGGGCAGTCTGGCATAATGAGAAATGAATGAGTTACAGTACCTTATCTGAGGTTAACTTCCCATTTTGTAGTCCTGGTATAGGTTCCAGTTCCTGTGGCCCTTTGTATGGTAGTTTTCTTTTTAGTGAGTGGACCTAGAGGGTTGGTAAGTATGGAATGGGCTCCCCTTGTATCCACTAGGAATTTTACAGTTGTGTCTCTATTTTCCCTGTCACCACGGACTCTCAGGAGCTCATTACTATTGACAAACCCTGGCCCTGTCAGTCTGTTTCAGCCAGACTGAGGATTTGTTTTCCTTTCCCTTGCCTGTGCTATGGGTTCATTTTTCCAGTGTCCTTTCTCCTTGAAATAAGAGCACTGGTCCTTCTCCAACTGAGTTTGAGGTTGATTGGGTCATCTGACACATCTCTGAACCCCCTTTCCTCCCTGAAGGCAGCTACTATAATTTTAGCTAACCTCTTATCCTTCTTCTCCTCTAGATCCCTGTTGTTAAAGGTTTTCTGAACTATTTATACTGAGACCTGTTCATACCTTCAAATCCTTCTAGTTTTTTAACTTCCTGTAAATGTCAGGGGCTGACTGGGTCACAAAATTTATGGATGGCCCACTGGTTTTCTGAAGCATCTGGGTCAATGGGAGTAAACTCCTGGTAGGCTTCCTGGAGGTATTCCAGAAAGGCAGCGGGAGAGTCCTCATCCAGTCCCTGGATTACCTCTGTCACCTTTGAAAGGCTGGTAGGTTTCCTAGCTGCTACCATCATTCTGGTCAGGAGGGCCTGGTGTCAGGAGGGCCCCTTATCTTGGTCCGTGTTGGGATCCCAATTTGGAAGGGTCAAGGGCAAAGCCCTTTCAACTCTGGCCTCAGTGTCACCTCCGGCTGCCCTAGCCCACCACTGCCTTGGGGGCCTCTGTCAGGATCTGGTCCCTCTCCTCGGCTGTGAAGAGGGTACACAAAAGTTGCCTACAATTGGTCCATGTTAGTGGAAAAGAAAACAGTTTCCAATAGCTGATAAAGACCCTGGAGTTTGTCAGATAAAGGGGGATTGTGTGCCTTCCAATTATACAGGTCACTAGTTGAGAAGGGGACATAGACCATAAAGGGGGTCAGGCTCTGCCCTCTTCATCCATAGGAACAGGCCCAAGTGGTGATGGTGAGCTTCCCTAAGGGGAAGGACAGCCAGAGGGGGAAGATTATTAGTCTAGCCCACTCCAGGTATGGGAGGGTGAAGATAGAGCCTTGGGGCTGGGGGGGGGGCAGGGTCGGGGGATCTCCCTCAGACACAGTAGGATTTTGAACTGGCTGAGGTTGGGGGTTACAGGGTGGGGGAAGATTTTCCTCTTCCCCCAGGGCTATAATGGGGATGATTTTGCTGAGTTGCCCTTTGGACAGACAACCAAAATATTAGAGCTCATCTTAAGGGCACAACAGATTAACGAGGGGGGGTGTTGCTGGATAAGGGTGAGCCAGTAGTCTATGGAGGGGAATTGGCCTGGGTGTCTAGGGACTCCCGTGACCATTCGCCAAACCCTCCATGCAGCCTCAGGATTAAAGGACCCTTCCGGGTCCCAGCCCATCTCAAAATTGGGCCACTCTAGCTCACAGAAAGTATGGAGCTTCCCTGGTGACAGTTTGACTCTGTAGTCTGCCTCTTGGAACTCACAGAAATTCTTCAGCATGCAGTCCAACAGAGTCAGACTCTTACTCAAGCTGGTTCCCATTTCTGCAACAAAAGTTACAGACACACCAGAAAACACTAATCCACCAGACAAACACGAAAAGCACAAAGAGACACAAAATTCCAGCAAACTGAGATGACCAGATGAAGATGGACCAAAGACTGAACATGTGGAAGCTACCTTAACTCACAGACCTTAACCAGATAGCTAGGAGGACATCTCCTCTTATCCCTGGAGACCAGACTACAATTGTGTCCAATCTGCCCAAGGTCTCCCCAAATGTCTGGACCCCAAAAAACCTCACTGATCAGTTCTGAATTCAGCACATGGAAGCTGGTGGATTTTCTTTTTTTTTTTTTTCCAGACAGGGTCTCTCTGTAGCCCCAGCTGTCCTGGAACTCACTATATAGTGGATTTTACTTTCAATTTGGACAATTTGGCTCAAGAATTTACAGTGGCTCCCGGGCTCCCACAGGCCACCAAACCCCCAAAATCAGGCCTGTCCCACATTGGCTGCCTGGGTCTGGCGTCTCCCAGGATCTCACTGTGGCCTCCACATGTTATCGAGTTTGAGACCATCAGGAAAAGACCACCAGAGACCAGGTCAGATTCAAAATCGAAGTTTTATTCAAGCTATCTTGGACTACAACCCTCAGCTTGGGAGTAAGGACTGCAAAGGGCAACTCAGCAAAATCACCCCCATTCTAGCCCCGGGGGAAGAGGAAAATCTTCCCCCACCCTATAACCCCCAACCTCAGCCAATTCAAGATCCTACTGTGTCTGAGGGAGATCCCCCGACCCTGCCCCGCCCCCGCAGCTCTACCCCAACTTATCTTCACCCTCCCATACCTGGAGTGGGCTAGACTAATAATCTTCCCCCTCTGGCTGTCCTTCCCCTTAGGGAAGCTCCACCATCACCACTTGGGCCTGTTCCTATGGATGAAGAGGGCAGAGCCTGGCCCCCCTTTATGGTCTATGTCCCCTTCTCAACTAGTGAACTGTATAATAGGAAGCAGAGGCAGATCTCTTTATGAGGCCAGCCTGGTCTACACAGCAAGTTCTAGGGAAGCCAGAGATCTGAGTAGATCTGAGTCAAAGCTCTCCTGTTATAGGCTGTGTGGTCATGAACAAGTGACATTACCTCTTAGCACCTGATTTTCTTCATCTGCCTCATGGGAATACCTGTGCTAGGAGTATGTAATAACATAGTAGGCCTACATTAATGATCTGAGACTGGAGGTGAGGGCCTGGCTAATGTTTCTGAGCTCATTCTCTGGGGAGTCACGACCACCCACTGGCTGAAACAGTCAGATAAGGAGTCCTGAGACAGAGGGATCCTTGAGCTGAGTCTTCTGTGTCCCAAGCCACATGCTGGTGCCAAGGGAAGACTACTACAGAGTCAGATTCAAATGGCCATGAGAGGAGTTGGGGACAGTTGGAAAGGCAGAAACACAGGGCTCCAGGACTGGCCACATCCCAGAACCTGTAATTCCACCCAAGACTAGGTTATCTGGCCAGTAAGGAGATAGGGTCTTGGTGATGGAAGGTAGGAATCTGATCCTTCTTGGCCTCTCTGCTCACCCACTCATTTGAGCTCTCTTTTACAGCAGTCCTGCTAAGGCCTGGAGCCATCTAGTCTACCAACTGCAAACCTGTCTGCCTCCTTATTCTGCCAGGCTTCTCAGGAACACTGTCCCTGCTACCAGAGCCTCAGAAGCCCCCATGAGTGCTATTGAAGGAAGTCCTGGATAGTGAAGCCCTGGCTGGTCCAGGAGTAGGCACTCCACCATGCCACCCATCCTCCAGCGCCTGCAGCAGGCCACCAAGATGATGAGCCGCAGAAAAATCCTGTTGTTGGTACTGGGGTGCAGTACCATAAGCCTCCTCATCCACCAGGGGGCACAACTCAGTTGGTAAGTGGGTGGGACCTCACTGAAGGGGTTGGGTCTCCATGGGAGGTATGACAGTCAAGAGCCTCTTGGATGAGCAACAGAAGGGTGGGTGCCCCTTCCCATTCTCCCATATGCTAGAAGAGTCCTCTGGGTTCTCCTGTATTCCAAAAATGCTTTCCATACATGTCCTCTGGAGCAGAGCAGGCAGACAGGACACCATGGGCTGGATGGCGTGGACTGCTCAAAGTCATAGGATTAGTCGTTAGCTGAGATTTGAATTCTAGTTTTGAGTCTTTGCCACACCATCATAGCTGAGTGCCTCCTCAGTGAGCTGAAAACATTTTTTTTCAGGAAGGGTCTCATATAGCCCAAGATGGCCTTCAACTCATTATACAACTAAGGATGCCCTTGACCCCTCCACCCCCCACCCACAAGTGCTGGGATCACAGGTGTGCACCACCACAACCAGTTTCATTAGTTCCTAGAGGGACCTGAGCCACTTCATCATCTATAAAAATATGTGTAACCCTCTGGTCATCCTGATAGAAGGTATCATGTGATGTCGGACAAAAATCAGCCTCTGCTCCTGATTCACTATGTAAATCCAACAAATCCCCACACCTTTCAAGGCTTCGATTTCCCCAGATTTTATAGTTTGCACCAAGAATAGTGTGAATAGGCCAGTGCCACTTCCCAAATGGTTTGCTGGTTTTATAAATGATGTCTGTAAAGACATTATCCTGAGCCCAAACTAGTCACAGATAAGAAATTCACCATTTAAAGATCTATCTATCTATCTATCTATCATTCATATATATATATAGTCTTTTTGAGACAGGGTCTCCCTGTAGCCCCAGCTGGCCTGGATTTGCTATGTAGACCAGGCTGGTCTTGAACTCATAGAGATCTGCCTGCCTCTGCCTCCCAAGTGCTGGGATTAAAGGTGTGTACCACCATGCCGGTGCAAGATTTATATTTTTTAAGATTTTATTTACCACTTTTATTTAATGTGTATGAGTGTACTGCCTGCATGCATATAGGTGCACCCGTGTCGTTCATTGCCCAAGGAGGTCAGAAGAGGTCGTTGGATCCCCTGGAACTGGACATGTGGGTGTTAGGAATCAACCCAGGTCTTCTGCAAGAGCAGCGAGTACTCTTAACCACTGAGCCATCTCTCCTCCAGTCCCTTAAGATTTATTCTTATTTTGTAAGTGTCTGCATGCATGTAATGTGTACTAGTTGCATGCCTGGTATCCTCGGGGCCAGAAGAGGGTATTGGATCTCCTGGAACAATTGTGAGCCACGATGCGGGTGCAGAGAACTGAACCCAGGTCCTATACAAGAGCAGCAGTCATTCTTAACCACTGAGCCATTATCACATGATACTTAGATGGTAGAGAAGAATCAGGAGTAAATCAAAGCCTGTCCAGACCTAATAGGTCACCAGTAATCCCCAAACATCCCTGCTTCAGATCAAGGAAGAGAAATGAGAGTTTCACAGGGGCTAGGGATGCCATCTGTTCCATATAGAATTGTATTTCTTGAGTTTAGGACAATGCCTGGCACGGAGTAGAAACACACACATGCATAAATGAATAGATCTCCAAAGACCTTAACAGAAACATGTAACAACAGAATGGGGCCACTAAACAGTCAGTAAAAGTTAAAGGGTCAACAAGAGACAGAAGACAGAGGATAAGAGGATCTGGTTACTGAGCTGTCTCTAGATTCTCCTCACCCTCACACCCTCAGTTTCTAAACATGTAAAGTGAGATTCCTCAAAGATCTCCAAGGGCCTCTGTCTTTTATATTATTTATTTCTGTATTAATTACCTTAGGGATGCCAGGAGTGGTAGTGCACCCCTTTAATCCCAGCACCCGGGAGTTTGAGGCCAACCTGGTCTACAAAGCAGGTTCCAGGCTAGCTGGGTCTACAGGGAGATCCTGTCTCAAAAAGACAAAAAAAAAAAAAAATTACCTTAGGGCTGGGTGTGGTGGAACATGCCTTTAATCTCAGCACTGGGGAGACAGAGGTAGGCAGATCCCTGAGTTCGAGGCCAACCTGGTCTACATAAGAGTTCCAGACCAGCTGGGGCTACAGGGAGACCCTGTCTCAAAAGGACAGAAGGGAGGGAGGGAGGGAGGGAGGAAGGAAGGAAGGAAGGAAAGAAGGAAAAAAGGTATGACAATGCATGCCTGTCATCTTAAGACTCAGAAAGCTAAGACAGAATCACAAACTCAAGACCAGCCTGAGCAACACAGCTCAAGTCAGCTGAAGGCTAGCCTGGGATATGACTATAGTCCCAGCACTTGGGAGGCAGAGGCAGGTGGATCTCTGTGAATTCAAGGCCTGCCTGGTCTACAGAGTTCCAGGCCAGCTGGGGCTACAGGGAAACCCTGTCTTAAAAACACAATTAAAAAAATAAACAAATACAACAGTAACAACATACAAAAAAACTCACAACCATGAAGATGGTTCAATGAGTAAAAGTGTTTGCCAAGAGGCTAGAGAGATGGCTTCGTGATTAAGAGGACTGGCCGCTTTTGCAAAGCACCCGGGTTTGGTTCCAAGCATCCACATGGTGGCTAACAAACCACCCATAACTCCAGTTCCAGGGGATCCAATGCCCTCTTCTGGCCTCTTTGGGCATTTCATGCATGTGGTACACTCAACATGTAGGCAAAACATGCACACATAATAAACATCTTCTGCTTCAAAATGTGAAAGCCACCTCACCATGCCTCCCTGCCATGATGGACTCTAATCCCTCTGGAACCTGGAACCATAAGCTCAAATAAACTCTTCTTCCTATAAAAAGTTAAATTAAAAATTTAAATCAATATTTTTTTTAAAGTGCTAGCCAAACAAGCCTGATGACCAAGGCTGATGGCTAGAGTTCCACTCCCCATTCCAAATAAAAAGCCACATGTAGTGGCATGCACCTGTAAACCCAGCAGTTTTTTCTTAAATTTCAATTGAGTTTTTGTGTATCTCATACACATATTAATCATCTTTCTACCCCCTTCCCTGTTGGCACCCTCCCATACCTCCTCCAATGGATTTCATGCATTCTGTCATTTATGTTAAGGCCTATCAAATCAAGTTAGTATCCCCAGGTATCCTTCAGTGCATGTTCATCCACTGGGGTCCAATCAGCCCGTCTAGAGTCAGGCCCTTAAAGAAGATCAGCTCTTCCTCACTCAGCAGTAATCAATAATTCTTCAGCTAACATTGGGACCTGCTACCCATTTCAACAGTTCTGTGCTGGGTTTTTGTCTGCTTATGTTTGCATGGGTCTTGTGCACTGCTGTCACCATTCCTGTAAGTTCCTATGCGCAAGGTCCCAGGAGCCTTTAAGACTCTGAACCCATGTGGTCATGCACCTCTTCCCGTGGCTCTTATAAACTTTCCACCCCGGGCCCCCCGACCCCGTTCTACATCAGTCCCTGAGCCCTGGGCTGCGGTGGGGGGTGGTGACACTTAATATGGAAGTCCTGCCCCAAGGACTCACACTCTGCAGACTCTTATCTCTCCACTGGCCATTTTCAGCCAGTTGTGTTCACTGCCCTGTGCTACATGTGGGAGCTTCTTTGATAAGAATTGAAAGATGCATTAGTGTTCTCTCTACTCCTTGTTCCACTAGGTTCTGTAAGCCTTAGGTATAGAGGTTTCATTGTAGTTGTGTCACTTAGGGTTGGCCATTTCAGACATTTAATTTCTGTGTCCACTCAGCATTCTAAATATGGAAGGTGGAGATAACAGAACCCAAAGCTTACAGACCAGCCAGCCTAGAGCACATACAGCACATACAGCACAGAGACACAGGAGCTAACTTCTGCCTCAACAAGATAGAAGAGAATGCCAACTCCCAAAAGTTGTCTTCTGACCTCCATATGCACATCATGGTGCCATGTGCACCTGCACACAGGCACACACAAAAAAACCCTCAAAACGTAGCAGCAGAAAACAATGTTCTTTGTGGGTCATAAATCCAGGTGTGGCTTACTGAGAACTGATTCCAGGTCTGCTGCAGGTCTGTAGTCAAGGTGTCTGCCAGGAGTAGTCTCTTCTGCAGGCATGAATAAAGGGGACCCAAGCTCACTTAAATGGTGTGGCAGTCTTCAGCTTGCTTTTGTTTGCTTGCTTGCTTTTTGTCTGTTTTGTTTGGGACATGATCTCACTATGTTGCCCTGGCTGACCTGGAACCCACCACGAAGACCAGCATGGCCTTGAACTCATAGAGATCCATCTGCTTCTGCCTCCCAAGTGCTGGGTAATTAAAGGCACTGGGTCTCTCTTGTTCTAGGGGTCAAGCCCCAGCTAGGCCACTGTTGCACACACCCCATACTTGGGGCAGGGATGAAGGTCTGGATGCACCATTGCATTTCCTCCCCTCACACATACCCTGGGCCTTGCAGGTACCCCAAGTTGTTCCCTCTGAGCTGCCCGCCTCTGCGGGAATCGCCACCTCGCCCCAAGCACATGACTGTGGCCTTCTTGAAGACTCACAAGACGGCGGGCACCACGGTCCAGAACATCCTGTTCCGCTTCGCGGAACGCCACAACCTGACCGTCGCCCTGCCGCACCCCAGCTGCGAGCACCAGTTCTGCTACCCGCGAAACTTCTCGGCGCACTTCGTGCACCCGGCCACGCGGCCTCCCCACGTGCTGGCCAGCCACCTGCGCTTCAATCGCGCCGAGCTCCAGCGCCTCATGCCACCCGGCACCGTGTACGTCACTATCCTGCGCGAGCCGGCCGCCATGTTCGAGTCGCTCTTCAGCTACTACAACCAATACTGCCCGGCCTTCCGGCGCGTGCCCAACGCGTCACTCGAGGCTTTCCTGCGCGCGCCCGAGGTCTACTACCGACCCGGCGAGCACTTCGCCATGTTGGCGCACAACACGCTGGCCTACGACCTGGGCGGTGACAACGAGCGCAGCCCTCGCGACGACGCGGCCTACCTGGCGGGCCTCATCCGCCAGGTGGAGGAAGTCTTCTCGCTTGTCATGATCGCCGAGTACTTCGATGAGTCGCTCGTGCTCCTGCGGCGCCTGTTGGCCTGGGACCTAGACGACGTGCTGTACGCCAAGCTCAACGCGCGCGCCACCAGCTCGCGCCTGGCCAGCATCCCCGCAGCGCTGGCGCGGGCCGCGCGCACCTGGAACGCGTTGGACGCCGGCCTCTACGACCACTTCAACGCCACCTTCTGGCGCCGCGTGGCGCGCGCTGGCCGCGCATGCGTGGAGCGCGAAGCGCGGGAGCTGCGCGAGGCTCGCCTGCGCCTGGTTCGTCGCTGCTTCGGTGACGAGCCGGTGCTGCGCCCAGCCGCGCAGATCCGCACCAAGCAGCTGCAACCGTGGCAGCCCAGCCGCAAGGTGGACATCATGGGTTACGACCTGCCCGGCGGTGGCGGCGCCGGCCCGGCCACCGAGGCCTGCCTCAAGCTGGCCATGCCCGAGGTGCAGTACTCGAACTACCTGCTGCGCAAGCAGAAGCGCCGGGGAGGCCTGCGGGCTCGGCCGGATCCGGTCCTGGATAACCCCCCACCGCGGCCCATCCGGGCACTGCCCCGCAGCGCTCAGGGCACCTGAGTTCTGCCCTGCCCTCCCAGGAGGAGGTTGGCCCCTGGGCTTGGCCCAGTAGGGTGCCCTCCCCTCTCCCCCCAGGGGCTTGATCCCTGTTGCGCAACTTGGAGGTGCATCTGCATCTGAGCCTGCCACCCTAGCGTTGGCTGAACCCCACCTTCCAGGATGGCACCGATAGGACACCCACTCCTTCCCAATTGGTTGGTGACCTTGACAAGAGGGCTAAGGGCGGTCCAGAACTGCCTGCCCTGCCTTTTTCTGGGGACTCAGCACCTCACGTCTTTTCTGGGAGCTGAGCCCCTACCTGTGAAGTTGCACGACCACAAGCCCCAGAGAGAGGCCGAGGCCTGGGAAAACACTGTCCCTCCTGTCAGCTCCTGGGGTCCTGCTGCAGGCCCCAGGCCCAGGGTTGCAGAGGCCTCACACTGTCTTCCAAGTTCTACCTTCCCTACACACCTAAGCTGCTCCCAGACTCCCAGAACCAAGAGTTCTTGAGTTGGGCTTGTTGTTTGGTTTTTTTTTTTTTTTTTTGGTCTTTTTGAGACGGTCTCCCTGTAGCCCCAGCTGTCCAAGAACTCACGTGTAGACCAGGCTGGCCTTGAACTCACAGAGATCTGCCTGCCTCTGCCTCCCAAGTGCTGGAATTAAAGGCCTGCACCACCACGCCCGGCATGGTTTTTCTTTTTTTAATAAAATAACTTTAAATTGTGCAGGCTTGTATATCAGTTATTGAAAGCCAGATTCCCCAGGTTTGAGGATGAAGCCTGGGAGATGCTATGGCTGGTCCCAGACTCAGTTCAGCTCCCTGCTGCTCCTTCCAAAGGCCCAAAACCCTCTTCACTCTGTAGACCTGGCTTACCACAACAGATCATGGCCACCAGAGCCATGTTCGTTTACCAAAATGACCCTTTTCGTTCAATGTAGCCGCATTTCCCTAGCATTTTCTCTGTAACTTGGGGATGCTGGTGAACCAGGAAGGTTGGGCCTCTAACCTCAGAGGAGCTCCTGGAAGACACTGATTAGAAACAAACCTGGGAACCATGATGAAGGACCTCAGCATGGCATGGAGAGGATGGGAGGAGGGTTATTTTCAGGCAAGGGGGCGCTTAACTCCAGTTTTACCTCCCCCTGTGAGGCCTTGACTTCCCCCTTGGTCATTTCCTTACAGAAGGAAATAAATCTGACTTGGATAAAGACCAGTTTCCCTTAGTACCACAAGATATTCTGCATTTTCAAATAAAATCTCCCTTAAAATAGCAGAGTTAAGTAAGGACTTCTGTTATTTTCTTCAGAGACACCTTAACATATCTGAACCAGTAATAAAAGTAATACCTAACATGGTCTACTGTGTGCCAGCCACTATTTCAGAGCTTTGTGTGTGTGTGTTGTTGACTTGGGAGATAAGCATTCCTTTTCCACATTCAGAAACTGCAATAAGGTTAAATGATGGCTCATTCATAGCTGGAAAATGGCTATCAGGATTTGAACCCAGATCATGTAACTTCACCATCTGTGCTCATTAGGTACTGTGTCTAATGACATTCAAATAAAGGTGGTCACATGCCACAGGCTAGGCTGACTCCCAGGACCACCTCCCAAAGGAATGTAAGGTGAGACACTGCTATCAGCTCTTATTTTTCAGGGAGACAGTGGTTAGCCTGTTCAAGCAGTGGAGATTGTAGTGGTTGATTGGCAGGCTGGATGAAGCTCTATCTTACTCTGTTTACTATTGGTATAACAAACTACCTGAGACTCCATAGCTTATGAAAAAAAAAAACTTATTTTGGCTCAAAGTTCTAGAGGCTTGGAGCATGGCACCAGCATCTGTCATCTCTGGTGAGGGTCTTAATGGCAGAAATCAGCAAAGCATAGGCAAAGAGGAAGAAACAAAACAACAGGGCACACTCACAAATTATCTTAGACCTGAGAACAAGAACATGCAGCCAACCCAGTCACCTTTGAAAGGCCTTACCCACCTCCTTACATTATGCACTTACATTATGGACCAGATTTCAACATGAGGTTTGAAGGAGACAAACCACATCTAAACCATAGTATATCTGTTTGAAAGGGACTATTTGTATAGCACCCCATTTTGCCCTGCAAGGAGCAATAATTAGTGTCAGGCAAAGCCGCTGCCAAACAGCAGGAAAGAATTGTACTAGACTCAAGGTCGTCTGTCTAAAGACTGGTGTCTTCTGGCCCCCAGGCCTTGAAGGTGCTCACTTCTCTTATACCACCCTCCTGTGGCTCTAGCCTTTGGCCAGGAATATCCTTTACCCTGCCCTCCAGTGGCTTAAAAAAACTAAGACATGTCTTTATGATCTGCTATGAAGAGCCTCTCCTGCATTCCTGGCCCTCAGGTAGGCAGGACTTCCTTCATATGGTCTGACTTCAACAGAGTATAACTCTGGACTCAGAAATACCTATATCCTGGGTTGGAGAAATGGCTGCTGCTCTTGCAGGAGACTGGGATTCGATTCCCAGCACCCACACGGTGGCTAACAGCTGCCCATAACTCTAGGTCTAGGGGATCCAGTACCCTTTGGCTTTCTCGGACACTGCATGCATATAGTACTTAGATACATGCAGGTGAAACATGCACAAAATACAAATTAAAAATTTCAAAAAAATAGCCAGGCATGGTGGCGCATGCCTGTAGTCCCAGCACTCGGGAGGCAGAGGCAGGCAGATCTCTGTGAGTTCAAGGCCAGCCTGGTCTACATAGTGAGTTCCAGGACAGCTGGGGCTACAGGGAGACCCTGTCTCAAAAAGACCAGCGAGAGAGAGAGAGCGAGAGAGAGAGAGAGAGAGAGAGAGAGAGAGAGAGAGAGAGAGAAAATTCCTGCATTCAGGGACTAACAGAATCAACAGGCACTAGGAGAGGGTTTCTCTCTCTTGGGGCAAGTTCAGACCCGGTGCTGAACAGAGGCTCTAGGACTCCTTGGTGCAAACAGTTCCAGTGTCAGCTATACATACCCCTGGGACAGGCTCAGCCCCTGGAGTTGGCCCATTGCCCAGGAACATGGTTCCTTCTACAGCATACTCAGTTCTGTGCTCTCTGAGGCTCCAGAGCTGTAGCCCTGGCACAATGTGGCCCCTGCTCTAAGGAGCTCACCCAAAGGTCTGGAGCCAGTGTAGCAGCCACTGAACTGACAATGCAGCTGATTTTACATAGCGATCAACCATCCACATGCTCTGGAATTCAGACCTTGGCTTTGCTTCCTACTGCCTGCAGACTTTGAACCTGGCCTTGGAGCCACATTTTCCTCCTCTGTGAGATCAAATTTCCCAAATGGAACTTTGAGAACAGTATTTGAGATAATCCATCTAGCACTGGGCCTGGCACATGGAAGCACCCTCAAGATACCACATTCTGTTTCCCCAGGACTCCCCCATATTAACATCCTTTACATTGTGTGTATCACAGGTTGCCTATCTATCATAAGACTTTTTTAGGCCAGGTGTGGTGGCGCATGCCTGTAATCCCAGCACTCGGGAGACCAGAGGCAGGCAGATCTCTGTGAGTTCAAGGCCAGCCTGGTCTACATAGTGAGTTCCAGGTCAGTTGAGGCTGCAGGGAGACCCTGTCTCAAAACAAGAGTTTTTCAGCTAGGCATGATGGTGCATGACCAGGATTGTAGCACTCAGGATGGAGGAAGGAGGATTAGAAAGTTCAAGGTCAGCCTCAGCTAGCTAATCAGTCCAAGGCAGCTTGGGCTATGTGAGATTCTGTGCCAGAGGGGGAATTGAGAGATTGAGATTTCAGCAGATGGAAGAAAGCATTTTGAGGAAGAATATTGCCCTTTTCTACTTTCTCCAAAGACAGCATAAGCCAGCAGTGGCCCTGATTTTTATGACTACTGAAGAATGTGTGTGGGTCATTAATGGAGAACAAGACTGAGGTCAGGAGAGGCTCCCTGGAGGAGGGGCAGATGACTGGGAACAGGGACACTAGAAGTGTTTCAGACAGAGGGAACAGCCATGCAGAAACATTTGGTATGAGAAAGGCATGAGCCCCCTTGAGGCAGGGATGTTCAATACTACAGTGTGGATCTGGAATGTTCCCCCACCCAAGCCCCTCCATTAAATACTTAATCTGTAACTAAGGGACTATTGGGAGGTAGTAAAAAACCTTCCAGAGGTAAGGCCCAGTGAAAGGTTTACAGGTCATCAAGGTGTTCCCTGAAAAGGGACTATAGGGTTCTGGTCTCTCCCTTTCTCTCTTTCACATCTTGGCCATGAGATAAACAGTTCCTGTTCCAACCATGATGTGCTGCCTCATCACAAGCCCCCAAACAATGGCTTCTGAGCCAAAATAAAACTTCCTTTACAGTTCAGGTATTATGTTACAGTAAAGAAAGACTAACTAACACACTAGGCCATAGGGTCCCTTATAAGAAAGGCTTTCTACTAGCAAGATATCTCAGTGGGTAAGAGCACTTGTCTTGCAAGCCTGATAATCTGAGTCTGATCCCCAGAACTCTTGGTAGAAATAAAGAACTGACTTCCCAAAAGCTATTTTCTGACCTTCATGTATGTCCTATGGCACATGTAATAATACAAAATAATAATAATTTTTAAAAAGAAAGGCTATCAGTGTTATGCTTAAAAACTCAGATTAGCTGCTTTCTAAGGATCATGTCAATCTGGACACAATGGTTCCACTGCTGTAGAACCTGATGGCATTTCAGGAGTCACAGGAATGAGATGGACAACTTTGATAAGTACCTCTCTTGAAGTCCCTCTATGGCAGTGTTTGGGTTTTTGTTTTTGTTTTAGTTTATAGTGCTGGGTGAACTCAGGGCTTCCTGAATAGCACTTTATGACTGAGCTACAGCCCCAACCCAGTCCTATGTCTGTAGTTTTGTGAAACCTCTGTCACTCAGCAGGAAACTAATCCTCCTTACATCAAGGGGTTGTGACATGATCACGCAAGCCCAAACTAGGATCAGGAAAATGTTTACATTTTCCACACCAATTCTGCAGCCAGTGAGTTGGATCTAAAAGTCATCTAGACCTTGATCCTGGGACACACTAAAGAATTGATTGGCTCAGCAGATGCAAAAAGGCAGTCATAACTTTAGGAGATTATCTGGCTGCCATTCGATGCAGCTGTATGGTGAGATGTACAGGCTGTGCATGGAAGCTCCCATATTAATGAGGACAACCCTGGCTATGTGTCTCATATGCTTAACTGGAGATGTCTGTCTCCCAAATACGTGAAGATGTTTGAGTCAGATGAAGCCGATGAGATGTTAAGATGTTAAGGACCAAGTCTCTGGCATGCTCCCAACAGCTCAGCAGTAACACCAGTGTCTTTGTTGTTAGCCACCATGCCTTCCAGTGTGCCTGAAGTAACCAACCAAGCAGTTCACAGGGGACCCCATTTAGGTTCTTGTCAAGAAGGAAGAGTTGGGACTAGAGAGATGGCTCAGTGGTTAAGAGCACTTACTGCTCTTGCAGAGGACCAGGGTTTGGTTCTCAGCAGCCACATCAGGTGGCTCCAGGGGATCTGATACCCTCTTCTGGCCTACACAGGCACCTGCATGCATGTGGT